GAACATAGAAACGAACAGAACTGAATATCTCTCCAGTTTTAATATTATTTCATGTTTCTAGGGTCTGGCCCACGCCATTGCGTCTTTGGGATTTCCGTTACGAGGACTTGCCTGACTCAGTGAAACCCAGGTAAAAATAACTGACGTTCATTTACCTGTTCGTACCTGTATTTTCAGGTAAGTTTGATAAATCGATGAAACCAATCAATAACATCACGTTATGCGTGGGTTGAATACAACCTGAGTCATGACAGTTCAGAATATATTGTGAGTCATTTACATTTAGAGAATAGCTTTCGTCACTTCAGGGCGCTGACACAAGGAAACATGCGGGAGGGTTAGCACAGGCTTCATGACCCTTTTTTTCTAGGCTGTATGGAGCTGTTTCAGAATGCTCTTGTTTAAGTGCGAAGTAATAATAATAATTGTTATTATTACAAGGGCTGAATGGTAAATAAATCATCATCATCAATTACCTTTCCGACTGGCGTCGGCGATTGTGCCTCTCCGCAATCTGCATCTGCCAGTATCTGTTCCTGTGACGACACCCCTCCATGCCAAAAAATCTTTCCTCCACATTTTATATCTCACTGTGAAAAAAAATATTGTTTATAGGAAGACACACAATAGAAACTGACTGTTAATCATCGAAGGCTTTTGTCTCGCCCATCCATATGATCTAGCCATCCAGGTAGTTATGTTTGCTTTTCTCTCGCCCTTTCTCCATCAGTTTTGCCAGTTGTAACCAAGTTTTCGAGTCCATCACTTCTCATAACATGTTAAAACTGCCTACGTCTAATTTCTGTAATCAGTTTACAATGTTTATATGTCTCAACATTACAGGGACTGGCGTGGACATACTGTCTCAACATTAAATGGACTGGCGTGGACATACTGTCTCAACATTACAGGGACTGGCGTAGACATACTGTCTCAACATTGCAGGGACTGGCGTGGACATACTGTCTCAACATTACAGGGAATGGCGTAGACATACTGTCTCAGCATTACAGGGACTGGCGTAGACATACTGTCTCAACATTACAGGGATGGGCGTGGACATACTGTCTCAACATTACAGGGACTGGCGTAGACATACTGTCTCAACATTACAGGGACTGGCGTGGGCATACTGTCTCAACATTACAGGGACTGGCGTAGACATACTGTCTCAACATTACAGGGACGGGCGTGGACATACTGTCTCAGCATTACAGGGACGGGCGTGGACATACTGTCTCAACATTACAGGGACGGGCGTGGACATACTGTCTCAACATTACAGGGACGGGCGTGGACATACTGTCTCAACATTACAGGGATGGGTGTGGACATACTGTCTCAACATTACAGGGATGGGCGTGGACATACTGTCTCAACATTACAGGGATGGGCGTGGACATACTGTCTCAACATTACAGGGATGGGCGTGGACATACTGTCTCAACATTACAGGGATGGGCGTGGACATACAGTCTCAACATTACAGGGACTGGCGTGGACATACTGTCTCAGCATTACAGGGACGGGCGTGGACATACTGTCTCAACATTACAGGGACTGTCGTGGACATACTGTCTCAACATTACAGGGACGGGCGTGAACATACTGTCTCAACATTACAGGGACGGGCGTGGACATACTGTCCAACATTTGCAGGAGTGTAAGGGGATGAAAGAGCAGATGTTTTTACTAAAACAGCGATAGTTAAATAAACACTCGTAATGGACAAAGGAGACATTCGGAAGACCATTTTGAACTAATGTCGATAGAAGACAGAATGCTAGATGAAGTAACATGTGTAAGAATGTGTAAACATGGATTTAGGAGTGAATCTAGCAAGGAGGTGTGTATGAGAGGACGAGAATTGCGTGTTCATAATCAATGAGCTATAGAAAGAGTTAGATCTACACCCACATGCTTATCAGTGACAGTTCAGATGAGGCAGATGTACTGATCTACACAGATGGGTCCGTTGTACGAGAACACAAGAGCGAATGGGCATTTACAGCTCACTCTTCAGACAGAATAGCCCAAGAAGCTATCGGTGCCTTCTCTATGATTGCTAGCAGCATGACGATGGGGGTGATGGCGGTGACACAAGCTTTTAATTGGCTGGAATCACAGGACTATTCCCGCGTGTGTGTGCTGAGTGGTTCTATAAACACGATCCGGCGGGCAGAGAGTGGTTTGAGTCCATGCGACACTCCGGCAGTTACCCTTGTCGTTGTCCCAGGAAATTCAGGTGTTGTTGTCAGTGAAATAGCTGATAGATTAGCCGTTTCTGTCTTGGTTGCAGATGGCCAACTTATAGATTGGCGTTATAATGCCCTTAGAGAGAAAGGACGATCGGAGGCGTTAAGAAGTCTTGTTAATCAGCATAGGGCTGGCACTATTAACCACGGGAGGTTGGTGTATATTGGAAGAGGGAATCGGAGCACACATGGACGTGTCCGGAGTTATGTGATGATACCCTTACTCATAACCTTATGACATTTGCTGCTGGAGACGGAGCATTTATGTGTATGCATGATGTGCTCTGATGTCCATTATCAAATAAGTAACTCAGAAATGTTTCTGATAATACGCTCGTAACTACTAGGCTAGTCAACTCCAGAAACGTTTCTGATAATACCCTCGTAACTCTACTAGGCAAGTCAACCCCAGAAACGTTTCTGCTAATTCGCTCGTTAACTCTACTAGGCTATTTAACTCCAGAAACGTGAAACTCCTATAAAATCCCACGCTGTTGCCGTTAGCAATGAAGCTCTGGTCCGCCGTACACCAAACGTCTTCAGATTGAAATGTCGACCTTGTATCTTTGTTTGCTCAGACTTGAGGTTATTTCAAACAACTTTTAATGGCTCCACTTAAAACTAATCGGGTCACCACAAAACGACCTGGTACGACCTGTCGCTAGTTGAAGTTTATTCTCAACGGTTTCGTCAGGCAGGATTGCTGAAAAGACCCCTCCATTTCCCGCCTCTAGGGTTGACCTGTGGTGACAGGACAAGGACACTTGAAGTATGTTTGAGTTTGTATTATGTGATCATTATTGTCTGCCAGCGAGATGCTCTAGATCAGTCCTTCTTTTCCTTCATCCTTCCTTCCTTCCTTCCCTCCCCTCTTTCTTTCTTTCTTTCTTTCTTTCTTTCTTTCTTTCTTTCTTTCCTTCCTTCCTTCCTTCCTTCCTTCCTTCCTTCCTTCCTTTTTTCTTTCTTTCTTTCTTTCTTTCTTTCTTTCTTTCTTTCTTTCTTTCTTTCTTTCTTTCTTTCTTTCTTTCTTTCTTTCTTTCTTTCTTTCTTTCTTTCTTTCTTTTCTGTTTCTCTCTTTCATATATTAACATACTACGTAGATATATCTCAAGCCTATTCACACAGTCGGCAAACATGTACTGATTTTTCACTGTAAAACGTATCTCAAAACGATACACACATACGCACATAAGCACACACGCCACTCACAGTCTCCCCCCCCCCCTTTTTAATTACCCCCCCCCCCTTCTTTCCCAGTTCCCAGTACACAGCAACCAAAAGGCAACACAAAAACAAGAAATCCTGAAAAAGAAACAAAACCAGGTTTAATGAATTGCTGGCGATAATATATTTTTAAAAAATGTGTAAACGTATCACAATTCTGTGGAAATAAACAAAACAAAATTAAAGAAAACAAGCTGGAGTGTGGTCAGTGCTGAAAGACAGGAAAAATATTATGGCGGTTCTGCCTTCTAGAAGGAGGGTAATAGGCAGAATCCCACCAAAATGTGACTCTACTATGGAAGAGAAGCAGTCGTTCATTCACAATATAGATGTATCTTGCAGTCTTGTTTAGTATTCCCTCTTCTAACCTGAGATATACAGGTATCTTGCAGTCTTGTTTAGTATTCCCTCTTCTAACTTGGGATATAGAGGTATCTTGCAGTCTTGTTTAGTATTCCCTCTTCTAACTTGGGATATAGAGGTATCTTGCAGTCTTGTTTAGTATTCCCTCTTCTAACTTGGGATATAGAGGTATATGGCAGTATTGTTTAGTATTCCTTCTTCTACCCTGGGATATAGAGGTATCTGGCAGTCTTGTTTAGTATTCCCTCTTCTAACCTGGGATATAGAGGTATCTTGCAGTATTATTTAGTTTTTCCTCTTCTACCCTGGAATGTACAGGTATCTTGCAGTCTTGTTTTCTTTTATTTTCTACCCTGGAAGATAGGTACCTTAGTCATGTAAGGTACAAGCATGAGTAGGCTTCTACGTTTTGCCCTAGCGCACTCTCACTAAAATCACGGATCGGGCCAGTGTTTTTGTCTCGCCTCATCTATTTGGCTTAGCCATCCGGGTACTGCATTTATCTCTGCGCCTTCCCCTCGCTCTTGTTCTGTCAATCTTGCCAGTCATTCGAGTCCATTCCTTTCCAATACATGTCCAGAAAACACAGGACTGACTATGTCTAGTTTCCCTAATCAACCTTTTTCATCTGTCTCGAAAAGGGCTGCCTCATGTGTTTTTCCATGACATTCATTGCATTATTCTCAGAACCACATCTTAGCATTCTGCTATCAAAGTCAGACTTCAACACACAAAAACAAAGAAGCTGCATGTACATTTGTGGGATGGAGTTGCACAAATTATTCAGATTACTAATCCCCGATTCTCTCTGTCTGTCTGCTACAAGCATTTTTTATCACACTGTCACGGACATTACACACACACAGACACACACACACACACACACACACTCTCTCTCTCTCTCTCTCTCTCACGCGCGCGCGCGCGTGTGTGTACATACAAACACAAACAATGAAGGTTCTCACACGTCAGACTGACAGAAGCTTGCTATCAGGTAAAATTGCACATATATAAAGCTAAACAGTAATTTGGTTTTGGTTATCAAGATGAAGAAACTCCTGGAACTTGTACACCATGCTGCCTTGTGGACAAATGTATATGAGAATATATCATCATAGCTTAAGTCTCGTGGTCTTATCCAGTAATTTCTGACTGACTTTACATGAATCTAATTGTTGGCACAGACGACTCAGCCAGAAGCAGAGACTCGGCGTTTTCCTCGGAAAATAGGTTCAGAAGTGCGAGCTGACCTTTCAAAGAAAAGTCTTCCTCGATGTTGTCCAAGGGTCCAGACTCCGAGGGATGCAAGCTGCCTAGTGGGGACAGCTGAGAAGCGTCGGTCACTGACCAGGCGGGGGAGCTACAGGGCGACAAGTTGGAGGATTCAGATCTACGACTGCCCGGAGAAACACTCTGGCAGAAGCTAAAATGCGGGCTAAATTCGAAACTAGAATATCGCTTGTGATTCTGCTGCTTCTCCAGGAGTGATGTTTGTTGTGTGTCTTTATTTGCAGGATGCAACTGAGAATTATCACAGGGATAACCAAGCGCTCTTCGTTGTTGCAAATCTTCATCCATGTAATCGTCTAAATCTACAAAAGATTCTAAATCAAGAGAAGATGTGGAATTTTCTGACATTGCGAAGACTATGTTGTCACAAGACTCATTCAGACAATCGGTGTAGCAGTTGGACTGTGGACTTTCTGTTAGCCAAGCTGTAACGTCTGTGGTATCACTGTTATCGTCAGTGCCTGAAGAATCCTGTCCAAACACGGAGGTGTCGACATAATCTCCAGATGAGGACTGCAGTGATTGAGAACATTCGCCGAACGAGGTGTCAATGAACAAGGGAGACATAACTCTCCTAGCCGTCAGTCTATTTTCTAAACAGTTCCTGCAGGAGTTATCGCTGATATTAGTAACTAGTGAGCTTGGACTGGTACGGACAAGGCTTTGCAAACCATCCCGCGCCATGGAGTAAACTGTTGTAGGGAATGTTTGAGAAACCATACAGCAACATCTTTTCGTTGGCACTGCGTCCAATAACTGAGCGTCCTCGTCAGCAGACATAACTGAGCAGGAACTGTCTGGTGCTTTTTCACATAGTGATGACTGTAGGTCACTGTTGCTAGCCTGGACTTGGGTTGACCTCAGGCAAAGTGATGAGAGGAACTCCTCTTTGCTGATGTCTTCAACACCCAGTTCAGGCTGTTGTGTGGACTCACCGCTAAACGAGCAGCAGGAGTCCTCCAGAGCCGAGTCGATGAACTCCTGAAAGCTCTCGGCCATGTCGACATCCTCACAAGGTTCAAGGTCAAAGTCCAGATCGTCTGTAAGTAAATGAATACACCATAAATTAGCTATTAGATGATCTGCAAGCACAAATTAATATAAGACCTGGTCTTATTTTCCAACAGAAATGGTTTTACAACGTCATACATTGAGAAGGACTGTCGGATTTTTACCTGGTATTTTAAAAGATGTATTTAATAGATGTTATTGAATGAGAGATTATTAAGATTAATTATTAAGAGATTCAATGCCGTTTAAACATTCCCACAGCTACAAATGGTGTATATGTCGAAGTATACTAAGCCGGAAACTAATGTAAACATTTCCCTAACATTTTATCACCACAAATATGTATATCCATTACATGCTTCTTTATAATAACAGATGAAAAATTAGCAGCAAGCATAAATGCTCTTGTACATTCTTACAGACAATTACGTTAGAACCAGTCTGTGTTCAATAAAACAAAAATTCTGTAGATATATTAAATACACTATCCCTGCTACCACCCCCTCTTCTTTCCTCCCTCCTTTTTGTATCACCTGCCACATGCATAGTTTATGTGTGTGCTCGTGAGTGAATGTGTGAGAGGGCGTGCGCGTGTTTGTGTTCCGCCCCGAATTGAAAACGTAAAAAAAAATTTGATCGATGATCTGCGCAAAGAAAACAGCCTCGACCTTGCTATGTCTGATCATGTTATCCATTTACAACGTGAGTCCTGTATTCAAACTGGCATTTTTCACATTCCAACGCAGTTTTGAGCCCTAGTTTCGATAGTGTTGAGGTCGGGTCAGTGCGGTGGGGCATGGGAGGTGGGGGGGGGGGGAGGGGTGGCGGTGCGACTCAATCCCATTCTACTCCACAAACCACGCATCATTCCCCAATGTCAAATAACATACAGAGCTATGGCAAATCTGGCTTATAGCAAACAGGGCTATATCAGATCTGTCAAATAACTCACAGAACTATAACAAATATGTCAATGACATATAGAGCTATAAAAGATCTGTTTTATAACATAGAAAGCTATAACAGACCCGTCAAATAACAAACAGCTATAACAGATCTGTCTTATATCATAGAGAGTATAACATATGTCAAATAACAGAGCTGTAACAGATCGAACAAATAACTTACATAGCTTTAATATGTTATATAACACACAGAGCTATAAGAGATCTGTCAAACAACAAACAGAGCTACATCAGATCTGTCAAAAAACAAACAGACCTGTAACATATGTATCATATAACATAAGAGCTATAACAGATCTGTCAAATAACAAACAGAGCTATAGCAGATCTGCCACAAAACACAGAGAGCTATAACAGATCTATCATATAAAACAGAGAGCTATAACAGATCTGTCACATAACACAGTGAGCTATAACAGATCTGTCATATAAAACAGAGAGCTATAACAGATCTGTCACATAATACAGAGAGCTATAACAGATCTGCCACAAAACACAGAGAGCTTTAACAGATTTGTCACATAACATAGAGAGCTTTAACAGATCTGTCATATAACACAGAGAGCTATAACAGATCTGTCATATAACACAGAGAGCTTTAACAGATCTGTCACATAACAAAGAGAGCTATAACAGATCTGTCACATAGCACAGAGAGCTTTAACAGATCTGTCACATAGTACAGAGAGCTATAACAGATCTGTCACATAACACAGAGAGCTATAACAGATCTGTCACAAAGCACAGAGAGCAACAGATCTGTCACACAGCACAGAGAGCTATAACAGATCTGTCACATAACACAGAGAGCTATAACAAATCTGTCATATAACACAGTGTTCCTCAACCTGTTTACACCCGCGACCCACCAAACCAGGGTAAATTCTCCGGCGGGCCCCTGACATTTATCCTCATCCAGAAACATAGAGCCATTTAGGCACTGAAATCGGGAAAAGTTGAACTGGGGAAGCAAAGACGTTCAGGAGAAACTATAAGACTAACGAAAGAGATAAATCAACGGTAGTCGATCGTATTCCACACAAGATATCGAAAAAATTGAATAGGGTAGAACAGGACGAGAAAATCAGCTGCTACCCACTGACATTTTTCCTTTCCGTCTTTACAGGCAACAGTGTAACATTCTGCTGTAGGGAAGGATCGAAATCACGGCCCATAAACTGTAAGACATATACCCCATTTAAACGGCAAAAGGGGATCGTGAACAAAAGGACAAACGAATGCGTGACTGAACATTCCATGCCATCTGTTTATCAGATAGGGGTAGAAAGTGAAGAGACAAGATAAAACGAACGTAAACATTAAAGCGAACCAAAGGTTAAAGGTTAAAAGTCAAGAAGATTGACGTCACTGCCTCTGGTTTTAGCTAGGTCTTTCTCCGCAAAACTGCCAGACGGTTGCCAAAAGAGTCGTACACAGAACGAACACCGTAGCTCCGGAGACAATGCCCATAGGTCTCATTAAAAGTCTCCATGAGTGGGTTCCGGGGCGCAATGGTGGGAACAACAAGAAAGACCCACTGCCTCCCCAACAAGCATTTTGTAAGAGTCGACTAATAGGGAGCTTCCTTCAAAGCCATAGTGCGTCTACCTGAGAGACAAGAACCCAACAATCTGCATAAATATAATTCAGATCTGTAAAACGGATGAAAGAGGAGAAAAGGCAGACCAAAAAAGACTTAGTTATAGAACCTGACTGACTGGACAGGCCTCAGCTATACATGCAATTATGAAGTCTATCGTAACTGACCGCCAAAGGTGGAGAGAATCAGACAGTCAACAGACTGGTGACCCAACGACACGTATTGTTACAGGATGATGATGTTGAAAACGGATGTGCACACAACACTCAGGTTCTGGAACAAAACTAAAGTCCAGAGGTGGACAAACAACCAAAACTTTCTGCTAGAGTTTACAGCCTGCTAATGCAAAGAAGAAGAATATTTAAAAAGCACTACTATCTCAACGAATAAATACGTGAACATACGACATACCTAAACCACTCAGAAAATCCGCATCCCCGCATTCTGTTGTGTTTTGTAAGCCAATCATTCGTCTGCTGAACACTTCATTCCCTTTGTCGACGCTAACTGAAGGTTCATTGCCACCATTACTCCAGGCCATATCATCCTCAAGGCCTCCGTCAGGAGGTCTCAGAACATAGGCGTGGTCTGATAATATCGATGACAACTGCGATGAAGAAATCCACTTCTCTGACGATAAGGACGACGAGAACGATTTAGTGAGTGTAGATGACGGCTGATGGATGGGTACAATCTTCATGCCGGAAAATGCGTGTACCCCGCGTGGGACCATCTAATGCCGCAGACGTGTCCAGATTCAAGCCAGTTGAGAAATATTGATCTACTTGTTTTATTCAATAAAAATGTGTATCTAGTTTCAACTAGTTTATCAGATTCTCTCTTGCAAGCTGTTCAAATATGTCCCTTATTTCAGCAATATTTCACAAATATATCGTCAAGAGTATTTCTGTAGATTTCTCCAAAAGTGAAATCTTGTTCAAGCTTATTCAATCCAAGGTACAATTTTTAAAATAAACTTTAATAATTCAACTTGTCCAAACTTTCATTCAAAGACGATGAATGAAACGTTTAAATGTGTTCAAATGTCTAATATTTAATTACAGAGCAATTATCTGGCTCTTTCATATACAAAAGACTCTGTTTAAAAACGTATATAAAAATTAAAGTCAAAGTTATTTGCTGCAAGTTTCAATAAATTTAGTTTCCAGCGAAGTGTTTTCAACGTGCGCTCTGTTTTGGCTGCTATCGCGACTTTTATACGCCCTTTTCTGTCATTTGTAGGCCACTGTGCATTAGCCCGCTGTGCGCGGGGCGGTTGTTTTTTCCCCGCGTGAAATGTCTGTTATCTCCTCTACTATTTTTACACTCCTCACGTGACATTCTCGCCGAACAACATTGTGCAGGAGGGGAAGGGAAGGAATTTTTCTCACATTCTGATATACCAGGAGGCTGGGTAGGGGGGATGAGGAAGGGAGATGTTTACGATGTAGGATAATGACGTTCTGCGACCCAGTTTCAGAACAGGTTTTGTAAACAGTGTCTGGATGCCCTTGGTTCGCCTTGCCACGTTGAATCGTGGGGTCTGTGTGTCGCAGCTTGCTTCAGGTAGGTGATTAAGTGGGTCAGACCCAGCTGATGAAATGTGCGATCGATGGGTGGGTGAGTCATGTACGTCTGCGTGGCGTAGTAGTGTTGGCGGTAGGAGAAATATGTTCTTTGGGGTGGGAGTTCTATCTATCTATCTATCTATCTATCTATCTATCTATCTATCTTATCTATCTATCTTATCTTATCTATCTATCTTATCTTATCTATCTATCTTATCTATCTATCTATCTATCTTATCTATCTATCTATCTTATCTATCTATCTATCTATCTTATCTATCTATCTTATCTATCTATCTATCTTATCTATCTATCTATCTATCTATCTTATCTATCTATCTATCTTATCTATCTATCTATCTTATCTATCTATCTATCTTATCTATCTATCTATCTTATCTATCTATCTAATCTATCTAATCTATCTAATCTATCTAATCTATCTAATCTATCTAATCTATCTATCTGCCTGCCTGCCTGCCTGGTTGGCTGGCTGTTTTAATTATAGTGTGTATTTGCCCTGGAGGTCCCATTATTGTTTTTGTCCTTAAATTATCATCAGCATTGTCATCATCAATCCTCAATGAATCTAGTGCAATGTTTTGTTCCCACAATCTTTTTAATAGTATCATTATTCACTCGAGCTCGCATGGTTAGGTTCGCAGCTTCTCTCGTGCATCTCGTCTGGCAAGTGGTGATTTTGCGTATACCAGCTTTAGATAATATCCATGTTTGGCATTCGTAACTCAGTAAGTAAAGTAGCAAAGATCCCTTCTTACGCCTTAGGCGCATCGGGCATATGGGAAGAGCACCCATGTTGTTACAGACCTATCCGCACTAGTTGGGTAATGTGGTCAGCATTAAGCCGGCTGTCTTTACTTTCCCAGGGCAAACATCCTGCTACCCATTTAAGGCTGGGTCGACCTGCGACGTCCCATATCATGATACAAATCCACGCAGCCAGCAGTGGGTTTCGATCGCGGTACGCTGGATTACGAGTCGGGCTCGCAACGTCTAAGCCACGGCCGCCGCACGGTAGGTCAGTGTCGGTATGAATGTGACGTTTATAATATCCCCCCCCCCCCCAAAGTTATACTTGGATATCTCATTAATGGTGATATTGTCATGTAACAATTATTTGGAAATGTAGCTACAGTCAGAGCAGATTCCAGCCTGTGTGTCCACGACTGAAGCGTTGCTGGCGGTTTTATTATTATTATTCTGTGTAAAATAATATATGCGTAGAATAAAGTATGCAAGGAGTGTATCAGTAAGGCAGCATGTAATAAGGGACTGGGTGCCCAATTCCTCTTCTTTTTCTTTTTTCTACTTCTGGAACTCCGCGCGACGTCAAGTCAAGCCAGAAAGAGAAATCTGGAACGGGTCCTCCTGTTCGCTTCGTGTAAAGTACTGTCCAATTTCTGCATGGTCGACCTCTGGGTCTGTTACCGTTGTATCTGTATAACATTGCTCTATGTGTCTGCTGCCAATCGTGTTACATGGCCAAACCATTTGATTTGTTGTCTAACTATAAAGTTCAATATTGTTTCTGTGCCGGCTCTCGTCCTGACATCACCATTCATAAGTCGATCTTTCTTCGGTACATCTAAGATAGTACGTAAACATGTCATTTCTGTCATGACTGTTTTCCTTCTTCGTTCTTTCGGTTTGTTTGTCTGTCTGTGTTGTTGGTAAGGTTAGGTGGGCTCTGTCCTGTCCCGTTGTTCGGTCGAATCAGTTGACCAATTTGTCTGTTAACAAATTGTCCGTGTTTGTCATCTGTGTGACTGGCTGACTGAATTTTTACCCCACCAGGACATTAAACTGAGCGATAAAATTCGGTGACACAAAGTGCTACCATTAGGATGAGGAGCACCCGTGGAGAGGTCTCAGAAGCGTCGTTCAACCGTTAGGTTATATTGGGGCCACCGGCAACAGCAAGGGTGGGGCTTCAAAATAACGAAAAATGGCATCCCACAAGGGGTCGACGAATTGTCATCTCTGTGTAATTGTCCTCCTCTGTTGTTTGTTCCGTCCTTGTATCGCCCCCTCCTCGACGCTTCTGGCCTCGATTGATGTAAGTATGTATATGTGTCAGTGGCGAGTTGTGCATGTAACGTCTGTAGTCACCAATTACACTTTTCATTACATAAGTAAAATGCTTTATTTTACTATTTATTATCACTTTTTACAATTTATAATCGCCGAGCAAGTAAAACTTCATGAGAGTATTAACATACATATTAACATAAAAGTACGCTCAATGCAATTTTACATGTCATACAGAAACTGTAACGTGTGAAAGCTACCTGTTACTAGTATTTCTTTACTAGCTGCGCGCGCATACTCTCAACAGCAAATTGACGACAAGGAGGACACCGTGCGATGACCTCTACATTGTAATAATTACCTGCTAGCGCGTATACATGCGAATCGATCATGCCTCGCCACTGATGTGTGTGTATGTGTGTGGCCATTCTGATAGTGATCTCTGTAGATCCATTTTTTTCTTGCTCACTCCTCTCTATTGTTCCATCCTCTCTGTTGTTCCCTATTCTGTTCCAGCATCTCTGTTGTTCCGTTCTATGTTCTGTCCTCTCTGTTGTTCCATTATATGTTTTGTCCTCTCTGTTGTTCTATTCTATGTTCTATTCTCTCTGTGTTTCCGTTCTATGTTCTGTTCTCCATGTTGTTCCGTTCTATGTTCTGCCCTCTCTGTTGTTCCGTTCTATGTTCTGTCCTCCCTGTTGTTCCGTTCTATGTTCCATCCTCTCTGTTGTTCCATTTTACGTTCTCTCCTTTCTGTTGCTCCGTATTCTGTTCCAGCATCTCTTTTGTTTCGATCTATATTCCATCTTCTCTGTTGTTCCTTTCTAAATTTTATAATCTCTGTTGTTCCGTTGTCTGTTCCGTCATCTCTGTTGTTCATTCCTCTTTGTTATTCCGTCTTCTCTGTTGTTCATTCCTCTCTGTTTCATGCTCTCTGTTTCGTCCTCTTTGTCATTCCGCGCATCTTTTAACCCTTCCTCTCTGTTATTTCCTCGTCTCTGTTGTTTCCTCTATTCTGATGATCCGTCCCCTCTGTTACTCCCTCCTGTTTGTTGTTTTCTCTCCATTCTGATTATCTATCCTCTCTGTGGGTTTATCCTCTCTGTTAACCCGTTTTCTCGTTTGCCCCTGTCCCACCTATGCCTTATTTTCAATATATGTTTCTCCCTTCCTTCCGTGTTTTCTCCCCTTCCTCCCCCAGGCGACCACGTAAAGGTTAGACCAGTGGTTCTTAACCTTTCTAGTGCCGCGACCCTTTAATACAGTTCCCCATTCTGTGGCGACCCCAACTGTACAATCATTTTTGTTGATAGTTCACAACTTTAATTGATATGTGTTTTGCGATGGCTTTTAGCAACCCCTGTGAAAGGGTCGTTCGATCCAAAAAGGCTAAGAACCGCTGGGTTAGACCATCCCGAGATTACAAAATCTCAACCTGGATAGCAAATCAACAGAATAAATCCCAGATACCCCTTTCAATATCCAAGAAAGGTTTAATAACAATCACACCAGTCTGATGTAACAGGCAGTCCTATGAAGTTAAGAATTAATAATCCTATGCCCAAGGCATTTTTCTTCTCTCTAGCGTTACGTAGGACCGCCACCGTTTCAAGGTATCAGTTTCTTCTGCGCTACTGTAATAGACACTTTCTGGTGAGTACCGGCTTCTTTTTAAAAACTTGGAAACATAAAATCGAACGAAAAGTAGATCAGCGAGCTTCAAAATATAACAAATACCAGCGAAACTTATACTTTGCGGCTATGGAGTCTTTATCAGCACATACAAAAATCAAACAAAACCACACCACACGAATACACAAAAATCACTTAACTGGGCATCCCGAAGCAGTCACGTTGATGTCTGGCCAGTGGAATGAAGAGACACCTGTGGGACCCAAGAATAAATAGCTGAGGGATGCCAGGGGCCGTAACTCGAGATTTTTAGATGAAACTGATAGCAGTTCTGTCCCATAGCTGTTAGTGTGCTCAAGGTGAAAATAAAGCGATTTTGAAGAGACTTAGGGACTCTGTCGCTAAAGTGGTTAGACTTAATGACAGTTCACCCCATGTCGTTAATACCTTGGGGATCATAAGAATCAAAGTGCAATAGAACTGA